TGTTTTTTAACCTACTTTTAACAAAAACCATCAGTCATTATTTGATCTATTATATGACACTAGTTAATTAAGGAAAAATTCGCAAAAAATACGCAGTTTCGCTGGAAAGCTAGGATTGGAGTAGCGTTTTGCGCATATAATTACTGTTGCTGTATTTCAGATATCCGGAGGTTGTGAAACGACTGGATCGTTTAAAATTGGAAACACGCAGGCTGGATTGGCATTCGCTGCCACGAGGAGCAACGATTGATTTGGGAGAGGGATATCATCATCCTGTGTAAGTTACATAGTGATGCTACATTATCAGGAAAAACGACTCTGTCCTAGAAGCACCGTGTAGGCCTGGGGAGGTAGTCGCCACTTCGCGGGTAAGTGGGTTCTGAGCCATTAGTCACATGGCTTTTCTCTTAGGAAATAGAGAGAGAAATACAAAAAATTGAATTTAAACGCCACATTTAGCCGGAGGCTTTTATCAGAGAAATCGCTAAGGTTGGGGAGGGAACATATGCTAGGATCATCGGAAGGCTGACCACCAAATGATGCAGCATTATCCAAAGCAACTGGAAGAGTTGCCAGTACGTAATTGGAGAATCAGGCAGAGATTTACAGCCGATCCAAGTGTTTCAAAAAAACATGTACAGAAATAAATATATGTATGTAAATTTGGAAAATAACACACAAAAAGTATTATGAAATACACTAACTCATAAAAATACATTTTATTACAAAAATGGAATCGGGCATTATCGAAAAGGGAAATCTTTTCCTATTTTCTTCTTAAAATCGCTTTTTATTTGTACGGATGGCTTCTTATATTACGTGTGTGTTGCGTTATTGATAAATGTTGCAGGGTGCATAGCAAAGCGCCGAAGTACCCGCTGCCTGGGGTCATCGATGCTAGTGGACCAGCCGGTTTGAAGGAGTCGATGTTAGATCGATCACTTTCCAAATGTTAGTTGTAACTTTTTGCTTAACGGAGTAACCTCCGACTAACCTCATTGATGTGTAAATTTTTCCGATAGGATTGCTTTCTGAAAAGTATGTATTTGAAAAGTATTTCTTTATTCTACAGCACTTTTTCGATAAAAAAATATCAAACTTACAACTTTGTCCTCCTGTCATCCATGATGTATTTTGAACTGCCGTATAATTTGCATTGGCTTAGGGCATAGCTTATCTGAACCACTACGCATGGAAGCATCCTATTATCAATACTAACACGAAATACATTGATTGTCACAAATTACTCGCAAAAAGCCAGCAACATTAAAAAAAAGGATCTATACTGCCTGTAGAGGAGCACCGTACCAAAGAAAAGAAGGTATATTCTTCCTTGAAAAGCAGATGCGGAGTAGGTGTGCTGCCAGGCTGATCTTGGAGCATAGAAACAGGTGGTGTAGTGGGTAGCACGTCGCGTTCGGATTTGAAGGGGAGTGGTTCGATTCCCTCTGGGTCCGCAACTCCTTTTGCAAAAGGGCTTCGTTCACGATACCAACTGTTAAGGCATTGGCTGTAAGTTGATGAACAATTTAATGCTAGAATGTTGGCTGTTCTAGTTGCGCTTCGTTGCCTTCTTATACTTCCAATTTGGACAAGAAACATTCATAAGAATTGGGGCGCTTAAGATTATATTATAATCAGTAAACGATTAATTTGTAGTTTCTGCGCGTTTAATCTGTACTTTATGCAATGATTTTTTGAATTTCCCACTTCATACTGATGAACATACTTCACTATTTCATTTATGTTAATATAGATATATATGGTATTTAGATTTTGCTTTCAAGAATTCGAGAAATTGATAGAAGTCCCCTTGTTGGAATGCGCACACCCAATTATATATCTATTGCTGAAGCTTACAAAGGCTGTTTGTTGCAGTGAACCATTCATTTACTGTACCGGAACGAATGAGTTCTGAAGATGGCTCAACGAGAGGTGATATTCATTACGGCGAGGATTTTATCAATTCACTTCGCAGGTCAGAGTCGCATTTCTTTTTTTTTTTGCTTTTTAAAGAAAAGGGCCTAGTTTGATCTTCTGCTTCATCCATGCTCCCCCTTTTCTTCCATTCACCTGCCAGCAATTTTCACTTCCTCAAAATTTTACTCTTTATGAGGATTAAAAGCAGTCAGAAGTGATCCGAATGGTTAAGCAAAAACTCATAAATGCGTTTAAAAAAGTCGGAAGTTTCGAAAACAAGGTAAAAACAGAGCAAAATCATTGTTTTGGAGATTAGCGCTATCATTCTTATCGGATCTGTTATGAGAATTTGAGCAAAAGTTATGCAAGATTTTT